GCTTGCCAGGCAGGCGCTTTTGCTGCTGAGCTAAATCCCCAGCCCTGTAACATTGTTTGTATTCTAGATTTTCTGTAATTGAAGAAGAAAATTGTTCTGTACGGAAATCATTTTATTTAGCATTTGGTACATGTCTTTTGGGGGATTTGTGGCTATAAGTTACTATAAGAATATATTTGTAAATTTAAACAAATATGTATAGAAATGTGTATACTTTTTTGGTGGTGGTGCTGGGTTTCTATATGATAGGCAAACACTTTACCACTGAACTACACACTGTATTCTTAAACTCCCTGTCGGATAGCCAGTATTCCCTGACATTTTATTGAGATTCGCATAATAAACCTAAACTTACCCTCTTTCCTCTGGTGTGCGCTCTTCCCCTCGGCCCCTTCACTGCTGCTGGTAAGCATCTCTGGGTCGCTGCTTCTGACTTGCTGTGGCTGCTGCTTCAGCAAGGCCCTTCATCATCTCTGTTCTTCCTTTCTGATTGATGGTGCTTCTTAGAAGTCAGCCGTCTTTCCAGTTTTCTTTTTCTCCCTCTGGTCATCTTGCACACTGCTTTTCAAAACAAAGAACCAGTACTGTCACACCGTTGATTAGAAACCTCTTTTGACCCCCTGCTACTTATAGGATGTTTAACCCACTTAGCCTGGGATACAAGACTCTTCCCGGCCAATGTGTGAGTAGCAGTCACTTTCAGCAACTTTTTGGACCCTAATGTCTGTTGTTATGTCTGTTTGATGCTGCGTTCGCCTCCCATCTCACATGTTTTTATGTCAAGGCCCAGAACAAAGATTGGTACATGATGATATCCAACACACAATACCTCTTAATGAACAAATGGCTAAAAGTGGTATTGTTTGCTGTATCTGTAGTCTCGTTAGTATGCCCCTTTCTGTGGAGACAGTCCTGTCGAACTTTCGGCCTTCACAGGGAGAAAATAATATGGAGAATAACAGGAGATCTGAGCTTTGTAACCAACTTTTAGAGTAAGGAGTCAACTCCAAACTACCTGCTTTACCTCTGACAGCTTTATAATAGAGACCCAGCGGTGAGCAGGGTAGCTGCAGTTTGCACTCTGCATCGGCATGAGAGCAGCTAACAACATCGGCCTAGGTGCCTTAGAAACAGGGTTCCACATTACCGGTATGTGCTGTGGGGGTTGTAATACTTACTAATTTTAGAAGTTACTTGACAAGTAAATGAGTGTAGCTTAGCTTATGCCCTGGGAATTCAGAGATGGTTCTAGACTGTGATTTTTGAAGGACAGTTTTGTCTGGTTGTTTGATAAAATTTCTCAAAATTGGTAAGTAGGGATGAATGTACCATTTACAAGCAAATTTAGGTGTTAACCTCAGGATCTTAGGCTTGTGGTAAAATCATTTGACTCCTAAAAACACATTCATCTGCATTGTAAAATGTCATGAAGTAAAGGCAAAAATAATGTTAGAGAAAATAATAACATTTTATTTCCACTTGATCTTATTGTTGTGCCAAGGATTGAACACTAGGCCTTGTGTATGACAGCCAAACATTACCACTGGGCTGCATCCATGGCCTTTTTAGTTTACTTATTAATTTGTTTTGTTTTGTTTTGTTTTGGTACGGGGGATCAAACTCAGGACCTCGTGCTCACCAGGCAGGCACTTAAGGTGCTGAGCTATATCCCCAGCCCCTTATTATTAATTTTTTTGAGACAGAGCTGCTAAGGTGCCCAGACTGGACTTGAACTTGGTAGCCTCCTGCCTCAGCTTCCCAAGTGACTTGGATTATAGGCGTATGCTGCCACACATGGCCTCAAGAGTATCTTTTTAAATAGTGGAGAATAAAATGTCTTCATAATTGTAGAGATTTTAGAAAAAGACTTAGTGGTGAGTGAATTATCTTCGGTAGATGTTTAGCTACTGAATCTGCTATTTGATCTTCCTGTTATCGGTGGCTGTTTTAATTGGACTAGGCTTCAACTGAGTCTGCACAAAAAAGAATGAGAAGGAAAGCCTGGTAGGCAGGTACTGCAGATGCTGGTGATGGGAGAGGAGGCTAAGCGGGCAGGACTCTCCCAGGCAGCAAGCTGATGGCTTACTCTGGTTCCTGTCTCGGCACGAGCTCTCTGGAATCCATTGCTGTTTCTGTGCTGAGCCTGTAGAATACGTTTCTCCCTCTTGGCTCTTTGCAAGAAAGAAGTATTTTTTTAAAGTGGTTGTTCAAGGAGCTTTAATGTTGTACTTTTCGACGTTATAAACTAACATTATGATTCATGTCATACCTTCTTGGCTACCTTTTCAGCCCTGGTTGGCATCTAGGTCTGTTGAGTAGTTTAGATGGATCCGTCTGTGCTAAGGACTCTTTCCCAGGGTGTTTGAACCCACTGAAATCGATTCATCACTATACCCTCTGTGCAGCACCTAAGGGATCTGATGTCATCGAGATGTCTTGACTTTCTTTTTCCTGAGGCGGAGCTCATAAACTTGTGGTCCGCGGGCCAAATTCAACACCTGGTATGTTTTGCCTGATTTGTGAAATGGGAATCTTTCAATGTATGAGCATTTAGACACTGGAAATTTTACTTGACGTATGGACTTCTAGCTTCTCGGCTGATGAGACGCGGCAACACCGCATTGAAATTGCGGCTGCAGCCGGAGTTGAGTAGTGGTGGCTGTGCCTTTTCACTGGGCGCTTCCCCTTCTGCACAGAAGCCCTTACGGGCCCAGCACTTGAGTTTATAGTCCTTGCAGTTATGTATGCATTAGAACTAGGCCGTATGTAATTGTGTAGTTTAAAGAGTAAATGTGCTCTTAGACGCTGAATAATTTTCCTTGAGCAACAAACGTAACACTCACTCCAAAGACAGGATGTAGGTACCCAAATTGTTAATATTCCGTGATTAATTCTCACAGGTGGAAATTTAGTACTTCCTTAGTTTGTGCCCAAACACGTGCACACCATACCATTTGCAAATTAAAAGAAGACACAAATCAGTACTCATGGATTTCTGTAAAAATGTGTTTGGAAAAAATATTGTAAGAAAGAAAAGGAGTAGTCAGACTACATTACATGTTCAGCCATCCCGCAAGTAAATTCATTCTACAGAGAGACGCCGAGGAAGTGAGCCGCACAAAGTGGCTAAAGGAGGTCCTTCCTTTGGAGTTTTACCGTAGGAAAAAGAAGGAAGTTAAAACAGAGTCAGGTCATTTAAATTATGATGTAATAACTTGTGTTTAGACTGTAATTGTGATGAAGGGCCTTAGTCATCTTTATCTCAGTGTATTTCTGAATGTACATGAAAAGAATAGTCATTCTCACTAAAGCAGAGGGCACTTTTTGCAAATGGTCAGTACCAGGAATAAAACCAGGGACTTCCGCGGATGCCTTCTGCACCTTCAGATTCGGACCCGCAGCCCCGTTCCGGCAGGTTTGGGTGCTCACACTCCTGTGCCCCTTCCCTGCTTGGGCAGGAGACTCTCTGCAGGCCCACGGTCCCCTGCCAGGCGCAGGCGCTGACTCTTCACTGGTTACTTTTAGGGAAGAGGGAGGAGGAGGTTTAAGAGCGTAACTGGCTGTTTAAAGCAGACTTCCACTTACATTCTTTTATTGCTGCAAAATATAAATGTACAGCAATTTGACTTTTTGAGATTTCCTTTTGACTTTATTTTATTTACCATATTATATCTTAATGTTGAATTTCATGTATGAAAATATTTCTTTTCATATTTAGGAGTCTCCAGAAGATGTGGAATCCTTTGCATCCATGCTGAGACACTCTCCTCTTATACAGATGGGACCTGCCAAAGATAAACTGGTCATTGGAAGAATCTTTCACGTTGTGGAGAATGATCTTTACATAGATTTTGGTGCCAAGTTCCATTGTGTGTGTAAAAGACCAGAAGTGGATGGAGAGTAAGTAGAATCATTGTCGAGTGCCTTAAGAGTATTCGTAAGAGTTGATGCTCCCCAAAAGTGTTGGGGGCATAGGTGATACTCGTGGAAGACAAGTCCGAAGTGCTTAAAAAATGCCCATTAGTCACGTTAAGCCACGTTCATGTCTTCTGAAAGCTATGAGAACCGTTTTGGGGCAGATGTGAATGTTCACCTGGATGACAAATGTTCCCACTGTAAAATTAAAGTTGAGGTGAGTTTGCAGTATACGTGCCACACAGGCGCTTTCGCCCATAGACGTGTGCCCCTTCCCTCCTCCGCAGCCCTTCCCGCTCTCAGGGGAGTCTCCCCTCGGCTTCTTAGCGCCCCTTTCTCTTCTCCACCACATTCCGATGCTTTATCATTTTCTTTTATTAGTTTTACATCTCTTCTTCAGGATTATTATTTTTCTTTTCAGATAAACAGAATTCATTCTGTTTGTAGTTTGCACTGATTTATGAACGTAAGCATGCACTGGGGACAGCACTGACGTGGGAGATCTAGGAGTAGAATATCAGGTCGAAGGAGATACAGAGCTAAGATGGGAAAGCAGTACAAGACAAGACAGAAATGATTTTTCCCATCAATTTTTAATGTACACAGGTTTTAGATTTCAGTATTTTTGGTATCTGGTTGCATCTCACAGTTGATGATGTTTTTTACCTAACAGCATGTCAAGTAATGGCAAATCTAGTAATCAGTGACATCTTAGTATGAGTTATAGTGATTTAGAAATTTGTGATGTTTAAGAATGAATTAGAGCTGGGGAGAGAGCTCAGTGGCACAAGCGCCTGCCTGGCAAGTGCAAGTCCTGAGTTCGATTTCCAGTTAAAAAAAAAAGTAAGAATGGATTATATTGTAGAAATGAATATGGAGAGAATCTAGGCCTAAGTGAACAATGATGAGACTGAGTCGCCCCTCCTGAGAAGTGTGAGTATCTAAAGGTGCAGGTGATAACCGGGCTTCCTAGTTAGAGGACACAATCTTGTACCTGAATGTGAATAGGACCTGATAAAATTAATAGAATACACGTGTCCTCAAGTCAGTGTCGTATGAGCTGGAAGAACATGTGTACAGTGGGCTCTCACAAGCTGGTGTGTTCCTGCCCCAGCACACCTCAGCCTCAGGTAATAAGATGCCAACTAATATCTTAGTAAGTGGGCGGTATAAACAGGTGGTACCTGGGAGAGAAAATGGACTTGTTGCCCTCCTTGGCATGGCTTTAGTTGTTACATCAAATAACATAGAAGCTCAGTCAAAATTAGTAAGACTAAAGAAATTTCTAAGCAGGATGTACCTGTCAGTCTGTCCTTTATGCTGTATCTACTCTGTAGTTCTGGAAGGGATTACATTTGCTATTATATGTAAAGACTTAGAGCATGGTGGGTATATGGTGGACAGAAGCAGCTGTTACTTTTGTTGTGTTATTGAAATCTTGGTGACCTAATGATAACATCCTTCAAAAATTCCTACTGAGGAGGATTTGTGTAAGAGGCAAGAGTGAATATATGTGGTACTAAAGTTATCCCTGAAGAGAGACACGCTAAGCTGTTTGGTACTGCCAGCAGCTGTAGTTGATCAGTTCCTTATTAATATAAAGCGTATCAGTAACTTGAAAATGAAGTACCATTTTATCTTATGTGAAGATATCCTCTAGTGTGCATTTGTAATGATAAACTTTTCCTCCTGCTGCTGTGGATAACATCCACTGAGATATTTCTCAATAGTTACCCGCTCAGTCAGGTTTATGTAACTTCTAAATATCAGTAATGTACATGTTTCTTTGTATTTAAGGACAGAATTTTGTCAATTACAGTCTTTCCTTCATCAGTATTTATTGTAGGTATTCTTTTATCCATACTGTTCTTTTTTCTAATTTAATTAAAATTTTATAACATCAGTTTTGTCATTATGTCATAGTCTTCAACACAATATTTTAGAGTGCCTCTGTGATCTAAAAGTACTGATTTGTATGCTTCAGTTGCTCAATATCAGTACACATTTTGAGATTAGATATTACTCTTATGAGTGATATAGTATGATTTGAATTTATTTTCTTAGATTGTGGCTTTAAATGGTTAATACTGGAATCTGCTGCAACATTTATTAAATCTTAAATTTTTGCTTAAAACTATACACACACCACATAAGCACACATTGTATTATGGAAATTGCTCTTCACTTCTGTCTCTGTCTCTGTCTCTCTCTCCCTTTCTCTCCTTTAAGTGATAAGCAGAAGTCAAAACTTAACCTTGTTTCTCTGATCCTATGGACCAGAAATATTAATTCCTGACATTATGCCCAAGGAAGTAAGTTCAGCTGATGTTTAACGCAAATAGTTTGATTACTTTTTTCTATCTGTATATAAACGCTTTTAAGGTAATGAAGATAATTACTCTAGTTTTGTATCTGCGTACATATACATTGTTCTTTGAAAAGTTTTGTAAGTTAGAAAAGTCCTTGTCCAGTTTTTGCTTTATCATGAAATGAAGCTTTATACTCTTCACAGAATTTTTATTAAATCTCTTGATTTATATGTTCAGAAATGCTTAGGTTCTTTCCAAAACTCTTCTCTAGTTTTCTTATATCTGATACTTACGCTTTAACAATGTTTTAGAAAAGTATTACTCCAGCATGTTTACTGTTACAGTTACCTTTTACTCCTACTTGTATCAAAAACAGAACCTGTACTGTATGCAGAGATCTTTGTCATTGGTGAGAAAGTGGTAGCACTGCGTGGGAAATAGAGACCCTGCCAGGCTTCTGACTGAGCAGACTCTGGGAGACTGACTGTGTCTCGCTTGTGACAGATCATCCTATGACGGTGCGTTCTAAGTCACTGTAAATAAGACACAGATATTTACATAATTTATCGTTTATCAGCCCTACCTCTTTTTAAATCCCTTTACAGAATTTTTTTTTATTCAGACTTTCATTGTTGAATATATTCTACTACGTTAAAGATTAAATCCAAAGAAAAATAACTAAAGAAATACTCAGTTTAGCCAAATGTGTTAATTTTATCATTTTAATAAATAAGTGTCTGACTTGGAGTAACTGGTAAGGATGACAGATCATTTTGGTTAACTGAATATTCTAACTAGCTAAGTGACAGCCTCTGAATAAGCTCTATTGCTTTGTTTGAATACTCATTTTAAATTATAGTTTAGCTGGACGTGGTGGCGCA